TAGATAAATAAAAGATAGCTATTAGAATATAAAAGGCAGACTGTTATTTATCCTTTATGTATTCATTCGACCTGTGTGATTATCCAAATTTTCACTGTTGATAGGATTTGAACACCTAACCTACTACTTAGGAGGTTGACAACCTGACCACTTCACTAGGTCACTACACCCATAACTAACCATTTATAGAGTTAATTGCTTTAATAAATAATATATAAAAATTAACTTTATGTAGAAAGACCTATATATAAATATGCATAATAATAAAACCTAATAAGGATAAAAAATAAAACAAGGTGTAATAACCTAGTAAAGTAGTCAGGTTGTCAATCCTTCAAGTAGTAAATTGAATATTCAAATCTTATCAATAGTAAATTTGGATAATTATCTATATAATATTCGTATTAAGATAACTGTTACTAATGATTAGATTAGAATATCTGTAATGACAGTTGCATTAGCATTACTGGCAGATTATAAGGCATCTGTATAACTTATTATACAGAAAAATGCAAACTGACAAATCGAGTAGTGTAAATACTAGATAAGTTCTTGTAGTCATGTAAATCTGCTGAAATTAGATAACAAGAAGTTTATTTAAAAAGACCTAAGTAAAGAGATAGCAGATTTTTAATAACCTTACTGTAAAAGCTAGTTTAGAGAAATAGATACCAAGGTCATAGTACCTAATTATAGTAACCAGACAGGCAAGAACTTCTGAGTTGAAAGTTTCAGAGATACCACCAATCAGGCTGTTAAAACAAACCAAAGAAAAAGAATATTGGGCTAACCTGATATATTAATAGACAGGTCATAGTCCTATATAGATTATCTGGATTAAAAGTTTGGTAAAAAAACTGAACAAAAAGCAGGAATATACTAAATTACTGAAGTTATGTTGTGAAATAGGTGCTAAAGTTTGTGTGAACTTTACAAGAACATAGCAGTTAAATGATATAACTTTGATTGCAAGTATTGGTTCTGTTATAGTAATAACTTAGATTAGCTATAAAAATGAATACAGAAGGCTCTAGAGAGTTTATCTTAAAGATAAATTAGTCCTAAAGTTGAGATGATAATCTGGGCATCTGGATATAATCTAGTAAGTTAATACAGATTACAAATTCAGAGAATTTAAAATAAAACATCCAAGCAGAGGTGTTAAATACAACAATTGGTAAGGAACCTTCAAGCAAACTCTTTAAATAAGTAATATAAAAAGTTATATATATAGTCAATTGTACACTCTTTTTGTAGTAGTTCATAAAATTACATTACCAATAAGTTATTAATAAAAGTCAAAAGACCAAAGAGGTCACCTTAATATCAAAAAAAAAATTTTAAATAAAAACATAAGACTTTTTGTTTTTAAGAATAATATATACTTATTTACATATATATATATATATATTGCCTATTCATTTATTAGTATATATGTATATTAATAAAAAGTAATACCAAAAATTTAATAAATATCATGAATATAAAGGTAGAATATTTATTAAAATTAAGTTCATATATAGTAACTAAGTTATATTTAATATCTTGATTAAAATAATACTATGATTAAGTAATCTGAAGTAATAATAAATTAATTAGTATTTAATAATATTAAAGACAGAAAAAGTATTAAAATAAAGAAAAAAAAAACTTAACTGATTTAACAAGTTTTTAGAAAATATTTACAAATTCTAATATTCACAAATCATAATTAATTCAAAAAATAAACTCTTTCAAGATACAGAAACTTTTAAAATAATAAAATATAAGTTTTAATAATGCTAAATAACCTCAAATAATAAGTAAAAAAAATTTAATTAGTTCAAAATACAGTTTACTTTGCTTATACATATATCTTATTATATCAAATACTATATAAAATTTAATAACCTAAAATATATTATCAAAATAAAAAACATTAATATTAAAGTATTACTGTAAATTGATACTTAACAAGTCTTAGAATAATGACTATATTTTTTGCACTTTTTATACATATAGCTTTTTATTTTATTACTACCTTCTATTGCATATATACAGTTGTCCCTCCTTACAATCACCTCCTATGTAATCACAAATTCTATACAATCACACAAGTATATCTGTTTGTACATTTTATATTAAAAATACCTCTATATAATCACAAATGCATTACAATCACTATCACATTTTTTTAAAAAGTTGTTTTACTAATTTATTAATTAAATTACCTTTTTAAAATCACAATTTAATTATACATACCTGGGTAACTTATTTATACACTTTAAAAGTACTTTTTGAGGATGCACATTTACTTACAAAAAAGTTACTATGAAAGCTATTTCTAGCTCTAAACGAACATTAATATTCATTGTTAAAAATAAGACAAATTTTGCCTTTTAAGAAAGTATTTCAAATTTGAACAATGAATATTAACATCCGTTTAGAGCTAGAAATAGCTTTCACAGCAACTTATTTGTAAGTGAAATGTGCATTCTCAAAAAGTACTTTTAAAGTGTTACCCAGGCAATTGATTTTAGAAAATCTCTCAATGTGATTGACTAGTTATAGAGATCGTGCACAAGTACTACGATTAATTGAAGTAATCCTTATCATTACTAATTTTGTCAAAGATTCACATTGCAGATATTAGATTTTAGCCACTAATTAAAAATTGAGTTTTGACCTAGTGCTTGAGAGTATCTTTAATTAGCCAATCAGATGAAAGTCTGCCTATAAGTCTTTCACTAATTAAATTTTTCTCTATGATGTATTAAACTATTGTAGTCTGTATCATTCATTAGAATATCACCACTACCATTTTTTTACTAATTAAAATTTGCTTCCTAACTAAAGAACCATAAATCACAGGAGTACAGTTTTATTAGCCACAAATATGTAACTCTGATTGGTTAGATAAATTTTTATAAATTTGAAAAAAAAAATTTTTTTTTGTGTACTTAGAAGTTTTTGCAACAATCAAGTTTTATATCATTCAATTTTTATCTTGGTCTTAATCAAGTTTTGTCATGTTCAAATTTCTGTAAGCTAATTTTTATTCATAGTTATAATCAAGTTTTACTGTGTATAAATACTTTATAATCAGGATTTTTTCACATTTAATGTTTTGCTATTAAAAAAATCCCTGTTCAAATTTTGCTGCAGTAAACACCTTTGTGGTCAAGGTTTCACTGTAGTCAAGGTCAAGGTCTCATCATTATCAAGGTCAATTTCACTTGGTTAAGGTCAAGATTTTACTGTGGTCAAGGTTAGGTTTCACCATGATTAGAGTCAAGGTTTCGCCATGGTCAGGGTCAAGGTTTTGCCATGGTTAGGGTCAAGGTTTTGCTGTGGTCAGGGCCAAGGTTTCACTGTGGTCAAAGTCAAAGTTTCACCATGATTAAGTTCAAGGCTTGCTGTAGTCAAGGTTTTGCTGTGGTCAAGGTTTTGCTATGGTCAAGGTTTCACTGTGGTTAAAACTTCATCCTAGTCAAGGTTCAGGTTTACCATGAAAGAAGAATTTTTTTTTCAAGGTTATTTTATAAAATAATATCAAACAAAAGAGCAAAAACAGCAATTAGTAATAGCTTAAAGCATGAAATCTGTGAATATAGCAAAGGTTTCACATGAAATACATTTAAATATCGCAAACTATTTTAATCAAAAAAATTCAAATTTAAACAGTGATCACTTAACAATTTCAAAAATTTTAAAGAAAAAAAACATGATAATATTTTGTCACAAAAAAGTTAAGTTCCCGTTATTAGATAAAGTCATGCAACTTTGGGTTGAGCAGGTTATAGATGGACAAATATTTTTAATGGATTTGATCATTAAAGAAAAGGCTGCATTTTTTGCCCGGGCATTAGGTTTACCAGATAGCGCATTAAAATTTTCTAACAGTTGGGTTTATAAATTCAAAAAAAGAAATAATCTATGAAGCTATCAGTTACATAGAGAAGCCAATAGTGCACCAATCTAGAACAAAGAGTAAAATTTTATGAAATAATAAAAGAATATCTATTAAAAACCGTTTTTAATGCAGATGAGACAGGGTTATACTTTCGTATGGCACCACATCAGACACTCTCATCGCAACCACAATCAGGATAGAAAAAGGTCTTTATTGTATATAAGGTTAAACTAGAAATAATGAAATAAAATTTTATTTGTATACTGTTTTAAAAAAATTTAAAAATTTTAATTTGTTAATTATTGAATTAACTTAGGATCATGCATGTATTACTGTAATGTTGGCAGCAAACGTGACTAGAACTGAAAAATTAAAGCCAATAGTTATTGGATCATCTATCGAACCTCATGCTTTAGCACATTTAAACTATGATACCTTACCTGTTATATACTGATCGAACTTAAAAGCCTGGATGCGATCAGATATTTTTGGTGAATAGCTTACAGAACTTGATAGGAAGTTTTGTTTAGAAAATTGGCATATTGTGTTGTTAGTTGATGGTGCAACAAGTCATTATAATCCTAATGACGATAATGATTCTAATGAAAATAATGTTCTTAATGAAGATAATGATTCTAATGAAAATAGTGAAGAAGATATGTTAGAATCTGATAAAGAATTAAACAGTGAAGAGGAATCAGAAAGTGAAAGTTTGAATAATAAAGAAAGTTATGCAAGCTCATCTAGAAATCCTATTTGACATGGCCGTGGCCGCCCAAGGTTAAGTGATAGTAATATAAATAAACAAAGTGGCCAAAATTCTCATGACCATGGTCGTAGCTGTAGTCGTGGCTGTGGCTGTGGTCATGACCAAGCTTCTTGTAGTAGCAAGGGTCATTGAGGCTATGCTCGTCCTTATAGACTTTCAGAACCTACCAAAACACCTTTGACAAATATTCGAATTGAGTTTTTACCACCTCATACTACTGCTTATCTCCAACCAATGGATGCAGATATAATCAATAGCTTTAAAGCAAAGTACAAAAGAAAATACATATGATATATAATTGATCAATTTAAGAGAGAAGAGGATTTTAAAACATAAGAACATATTAATAAGCCTAGTGTTGCTAACTTAAAAAGTTTCGCCAAGAAAAATTTGCTGGTTATTAATAACAAAAATTGGCAAAAATCCAAAAAATAATTTATATCTGCAAATTTTACCTATGTATCTACTACAGTTAGTATTGGGCTCGCTTATAACACAGGTCGAACGAATGAATAAAGGGTGAATAATAGGTAAATAACAGAAAAAAAAACTGCTATTATTTTACCTTATATCTGCCAAATAATGGCAGCATAACAGTAGCATAACAGTAGAATAATAGTAAAATAACAGAAGGTTTGTCAATATGAGTAACATAATAGTAACATAATAGCAAAATAATAGAACAG